GGGACTTCATATCATTGCCTATCATATGAGTCAGATTAGTTTATCAGATGAGTCCACTGGATGGTCTTTACAGATTCCACTTGGTTCCAAACTTTTGATGCTATGAAATGAGAAAAATGAAGTCAATCAAAGTGATCTTCATTATCATGAAAAATTAAACAAAAAGCAGAGAATGACGTAAGGAACCTCCAAGTATCCATCACTCATTTCCAATGTATGTCCAGTTTGTTTTGCTTGAACACCCATCTACTACCACTTCTTGGTCCCCAGGTATGAATTTAAAATAAACATTAGACATTGAATGAAATATATTTTAATAAATTCTCATGGAGCCAAGAACTGGATAAAGTCCCTTCCTTCCACTTCTACCTCCCTTCTCTTTCTATGGCTGTAAATGCTATCACGCTATGAACTACAGTAAACTTGGATCAGTGTTATAGGATGCTAAGTATCATATGCTGAGCCCAGTTGTAATTACTAAGGGAGGAGCTACGGCATTAATGAGCACCTGCTGTCTTCCAGATATTACTGTGCTATTGCTGAATAACAAATGATGTGAAAAATGTTAATGACTTGAAACAGCAAACATCTACTGTCTTATAGTTTCTGAGTAAAAATACCCAGGAGTGGAATATACAGCCAATTTGTTCTGTAAACTTTCACCTAAATCACACACACGGAATCAGGGAGTGGCTTAGCTGGGTGGCACTGGATCAGTCAGTCTCTCAGCGGGCTGCAGTCAAGCTGTTGGCTGGGACTGCCTCAACTTGGGAGCAGATCCACTTCAGAATGTGCTTCTTTGGGCTCCTCCCTGGGGCTGCCTGATGATGTGGACTGGTTTGCCTCAGAGCAAGGGATCCGAGAACATGAGAGAAAGAACCCAAGACTGAAGCAATGGGTTTTAAATGCCTTAATCTTTTTTTAATGTTATAAATTACTATTATCCATTTTTTACCCAATCCAATACATCCATTCACCTACAATTCTTAGGTGAATGGATATTCTGTAAGTGAATAGGAAGATGAAAATGAAGTGCATGCTACAGCATTGAAGTTGGTGGTTTTATTTTTAAAATTGATTTATTTATTGCTAAAAGTGAGGGTGTAAGGTGGTATCTCATTGTTGTTGTTTTTAAATCATTTTACTGGAGACTCTTTCAGCTCTTATCAAAATCCATCCATCCATCCTTTAGGTCAAGCACATTTGTACATATGTTGCTATCATTTTCAAAACTTTTTCTTTCTACTTGAGCTCATGGTATCAGCTCACTTTCCCCTCTGCCCCCCTCCCTCATGAACCCTTGATAATTTATAAATTATTATTTTTTTCATGTCTTACACTGGCTGCTGTCTCCTTTCACCCACTTTTCTGTTGTCTGTCCCCCTGGGACAGGGTGATATGTCAATCTCATTGTTGTTGTAATTTGTATCTCTCTTATTGCTAATGAATGCAAACATTTCTTCATATGGTTGTTGGCCCCCTGGATGTTGCCTTTGGTAAATAAACGGTCTATTTTCATGCACATAATCTTTCTTTTTAGTGAATATCATTCTATCCATTTATACATGAGGAAGAATCAAGTAATTGGCTCAAGTCAAAAATGGAAGAAAGTGATTCGATTGATAATCAGGCTTTTTCTTTTCCCATCCCATTGTGGCACAGTGGGTCAAACACTGGTTGTTAAACAAGTGGGCTGAACCCACCAGCCACTCTGAGTGAGAAAGAGGTAGCTACTCTCTGATACCGTCTCAGAAAGTAGGGACCAACTCCTGTGGACCCTCAGTCAGGTTTCCGAGGAGGTAAATCTCTCTCAGAGTAGTTGGAGCATTTGAACCACAGACCCTGAGGTTACCAGTCCAATGCTTACTTGACAGTTAAAAAACCTTAATTTTAAAAACAATTTCAACGCTTCCATTGGACTTAGCACTGCTGGTCCACTTATACCTGCATAAGTCCACATTGAAAGCAGTAAACGAGCAGTGAGAATTAGCTTGATGCTAGAATACCTGTATTCCATTGTCACAGCCCCGTGACTCTTCTTAGGCTCCCTTTCTTGTTTTTTAAAGTAAAAAAAAATTTTTTTAATTGTAAATTAGGTGAGTTTTTAGATTTTCTTGTATCTCTATTAGCTCAACTGAAACTGTAATACTCAAATAATTCAATTGCATTGTTATTGTGTTCCCTCCTATTATCTACACTCCCCAAAGCCAAATCGATTGCCATGTTTCATGGAGTCAGTTCCAATTCCCAGGGACCATCCAGGACAGAGAAATATTGCACACACACACACACCCTCCCTGTTTTCCAAGGCTGTGGTAGACAGGGCACAAACGGAATGAGCTGCTAACCGCCCAGCGCTTAACCACTGTGCCACCAAGGATTCCTTTCCTGTTTTCTCGACAACCAAATATTTATACATTGAACATTAAATTGGACTTCTTTGAGCTCTGGACACACAGGGGTTAAGAAGGTTGCTGAACAAACCCTAAAAACAGCTATTACAAAAACAAAACAACAGCAACAAAACCCAGCTATCACAGAAATAAATAGGCCCGGAACATAAGGTTCATGCTGTAAAAGTTGGAATAGGAAATCTTTAGGACAATTAAAATGATAATATGAAAAAGAAACAATTAAGAATTTCCAGGGTCCTGCATCTCAAATCTGTCAAATGGGAGAGACACTTGACTTTTATTTTTCATTTCTATGCATGTAAACAAACTCGGGAAAGAACAACCGACCCATCATCTCTGAGTATGAATGGAGTTTACCCACGAAAGCATTGTGTCCGTCTGAAATATTTTTAAATGATCCGGTTTTTTTTTTTTTGGGGGGGGGGCAGAACAACAAGTCTACAAACTAAATTTCCTTTGGAAACTTCTGCTAAACATCTGTGCATGTCAAAAATTGGTTTTCCTGAGGTACTTTACATGAGTCTACTTTCTATGACTGGGCATTTCTTCTGAGTCAACTCTGACTGCTAATGAGGTTAGGAAAATGGTTTCTGCTATTTTCAGCTATAAACTACAGGAGCCCTGGTGGCGCGATGGGCTGCTAACTGAAAGGTCAGCAGTTCAAAACCACTAGCTCCCGTGGGAGAGAAATGGACCTTCCACTCCCATAGAGGTTGAGTCTCAGAAACTAACAGGGGCGCTTGTGCCCAGTCCTTATTTGAGCGCTTTGAGTGGGAATCTGAAATCGACTAGAATCAACTACACTAGTTTAAGAACAATTGTGAGGATGGCGCCGGATCCGCTGTTTCGGTTCGGCTGTACATAGGATCGCGATGTGAGAATGGATTAAAGATGTTTAGATGGCATCTAACATTAACTACAAAACTCAATCTGTTGTTGTAAGCCGTCCTGCTTAGGGTTTCCTAGGCTGAAACCTTTATAGGAACAGATGGTCCAGTCTTCTCTCCCCAGTGCCTGGTTAGGGTCAGCTGTCCAGCGTGTCCAAACCCACCGGCACTGAGTCCATTCTGATTCATAGCGCCTACAGCACTTGGTAGAACTGCCCCTGTGGATTTCTGTGGCTTTAGAACCTAAAGATCTAACGTTGAGATCTTTAAGGGAGTAGAAAGCCACATCTCCTGCGGAGACTGGCGCGTTTTGAACCGCTGACCCTGTGATCAGCAGCCCATCTTGTAATCCCTACACCACCATAGGCCACCAGCGCTCCTTAAACCTCTTGCGTGCGATAAGCTTCAGAATGAAATGAACACGAAACACATCGGGTGGTGTCCTAATCTCCCTTTAGCAAAACAGAGCTCGAATAAGGAGAAAGTGTCCGTGAATTCTCACCCGTGTAAACAACTCTTCTCAACTCCAACTGGGCCCTACAAAGGAATCTGTGAAGCCACACACCAATTTTTTTTTTTTTTTTTGCACCGGGCCAGGAAGGTGTCCTACTAGTTTTTGAACCATGTGCTTCTCCCGAAACCAACTTCAGAACGTGGGCACAAGGAGCTGGCAAAGGCAAGCCTTAGCGCGAACGGCGCGAGCACGGCGGTGCAGAGCAAGCCCGCGCGACCTCGGCGGCGGCGGGAGGGAACTGATTGAAAGCGGCGATTGCCACATTCGGAGCGCGCCGCAAATCTCGGCCGGGGAGCCGCGCGGGCGCCCACTCACCTGGGCGCTGCAGCGGGCAAGGGTCCGGGGACGGGGTGGGCGCCGGCTGACCCTCTACAGCCCGTCCCTGCCCGCGCTGCGAATCCCAACTCGCACCCGGGGAGCGAACCTCCACGCCCGGCCTCCCTCCCGGCACGCCCTTCGGTGACCTTGGACCACGAGGCGTCACTTTCCGTCTGTGGAAGACCTGTGAGGCGCCGGCTTCACCTGCCCGAGGCCCCGGCAATAAAGCCACCGGCGCGGCCAAGGAGCCGCGCGGGGCCCAGGGCTCA